ATTGTACTCCAGCCTGGGTGACAGAGCAAGACATAGTCTCTAAAAAAAAAAAAAAAAAAAAAAAAAAAAAACAAAAAAAAAAAAAAAAAAGAAAAAAAAAAAAAAAAAAAAAGTCACTGAGGAGCCTCTACCCTCTGCTTGACGCTGTCCTACCTGGTTCTCTGTCTGCAAAGCAGTGATGCCACAGTGGGGCTGCTAAGGGAGCTTGCAGGAAACTACCAGAGCTACCGGCATGCAAGGGAGTGTGCTCAAAGGTCAAAAGAAGCAGATAAACCTCCACAGCATCGTGTGGGGCAAAGGGAGCCGGAGACATAGCGGAGTGTCTGGTTCTGCCTGGTTCCACCTATAAGGAGTTCCAAAACGGGCAAAACGGGGCTAGGGTGATGGAAATCAGACCTGTGGCTGCCTGTGGAGGGCTGGGGGTATGACCTGGAAGGGAGGCCAAGGGAACCATAAGGCTTTCAGAAATGTCCTCCCTTCTTGATGGCAGCAGTCATTAAATAGGTGAAAGATAGTCAAACTGTCTGCTTAAGATTTATACCTTTTGTTGTATGCAAATGATAGCTCAATTTATTTATTTTATTTTATTTTTTGAGATGGAGTCTCTGTCACCCAAGCTGGAGTGCAGTGGCACGATCTCGGCTCACTACAACCTCCACCTTCTAGATTCAAGTGATTCTCCTGCCTCAGTCTCCCGAGTAGCTGGGACTATAGGCGTACACTCACACTCAGCTAATTTTTGTATTTTTAACAGAGACGGGGATTTACTATGTTGGCCAGGCTGGTCTCAAGCTTCCAACCTCAGGTGATCCACCTGCCTTGGCCTCCCAAAATGCTAAGATTATAGACATTAGCCATGGTGCCTGGCCATAGCTCAATTTAAAATAAGCACTAGGGAGGTCCAGCCACTCCTCCTCCAGACCAATTAAGTCAAGGAGAATAGGGACCACTGGTCTAGAGCTCATGCCACCTGGGGTGGTGACCCTCTCATAGTTGTGATGTACTCTGTGACATTAGGTCCATCCGTTACTGCTCTGGCTGATCTGTAAGAAGTTAATGTCTCCATCATAGGTTCTGCGGTGAGGACAATGTGGAATCTGGCAGGGAACACTATATGTGGTACACATTAAGTGCCCAATAAATGGTGCTATAATGAGGTGCAGTCACATAGGGGCATGAGGTCATCAATGAATAAAAAACGGGAATTACTCAAATACTATTCTCCCTGGTTTTTTGCAGTCCAGCGTACAATGCTTCACCTTCTGAATTATATACTCAAGCTGCTTCCACAAATGAGGATGACGTGGAAGGGTCATTATGAGAATTCAATGAGGCTATTTTGTGTAGGGCATGCCACGTGGGAGTCACTCATTACGCCTTAGTTACTACTAATAGGGACAGTGCAATGTTGGTTGTCAAGAATCAGAAATACCGGGCTTGGTGGCTCATGACTGTAATCCCAGCACTTAGGGAGGCTGAGGCAGGAGGACTACTTGAGCCCAGGAAATTAGAAATAATACATGTAACACATCTGCAAAGCCCAGATACTAGATGCGCCATAAGGAGCCGCTGGCCGGGCATGGTGGCTCACACCTGCAATCCCAGCACTTTGGGAGGTCGAGGTAGGTGGATCACCTGAGGTCAGATATTCGAGACCAGCCTGGCCAACATGGTGAAACCCCATTTCTACTAAAGATACAAAAATTAGCCAGGCGTGGTGGCGCACATACCTATAATCCCAGCTACTCGGGAGGCTGAGGCAGAAGAATCGCTTGAACCTGGGAGGCGAAGGTTGCAGTGAGCCGAGATCACCCCTCTATACTCCAGCCTGGGTGAAAGGGTGAGA